TTAAACCCCCTGGGGTAGATATTAGGCTGACAGGTTCAAGGAAAAGGATAACATGAGTTTCCTTAAAGCACTTTGAGTCATTGACGTATGTACATTTACTGTAGTGGAGAAACAAGTTTTAAAGGTTGCGGGTCCGAACAGACTTTTAATTAAAGTTAGTGAACAAATCCAACCACAATATGTCATCTTCATCTCACTAGAATTGATTTTTATTTTTTTACTTGAGAGGGCAAATTGTAACTTGCAAACCGTGAGTCACTATTTGATGGTTTTGGCTGAGAGCTGATTGGCTGTGACTGGTTTGAGTGTGAGGAGCTAGGTATATGGATTATATTATAGTTCCATTTGTTGTGATTTGAATATAAGGGACTGCAACTTACATTAAATTAACTTAGCAACATTGTGATACTGTATTAGTGCTCACAGGTCTGCCCAAACAGGCTGTAAAACAGCTGCAGTACATTCAAAATGCAGCAGCTCGAGTCCTGACAAGAACCAGGAAGTACGACCACATTAGTCCAGTCCTCAGGTCTCTGCACTGGCTTCCTGTGGCTCAGAGAATAGACTTTAAAACAGCTCTGCTTGTGTACAAGTCTCTCTATGGCCTCGCACCAAAATATATTACTGACATGTTAGTACCATATGAACCAGCCCGGACTCTGAGGAGCACAGGGACTGGACTCCTGTTAGTGCCCAGAGTCAGAACTAAACATGGGGAGGCTGCTTTTCAGATTCATGCTGCTAAAATCTGGAACAGTCTTCCTGAAGATGTGAGACAGGCCTCCTCTCTGACAATGTTTAAAACCAGGTTAAAGACAGTTCTGTTTAGCTGTGCATACAACTGAGGGATTTTATATTTTTATCTTTCTTTTTAATGTTCTGTGATTATTTATGATTTTAATGCTTTCTTGTTTTGTTCAGCACTTTGAATTGCCTTGGTATGAATTGTGCTATATAAATAAACTTGCCTTGCCTTGCCTATTAGCACTCCCACTTCTCTTTCTGAAAGGAGTTTGCATGTTCTCCCAGTGTGCGCAGGTTTCCTTGTGCTAATCCTGTTTCCCCTTCCACTAAAACATGTACAATATCTCCCCTCTCTCTGGGGCCAGGAGATTCTTAATTCTCAGAGCTACTTTCCTGGTTGAATAAAAGTCAATCATTCATTAAATTTAGACATATTCCAAAATTTCTGTTTCTCTGACCTTGGAAAGACACAGCATTCCTTCTCATTTGTAACCAAGAGTGAATCCACAGTAGCTTGCTATTGACTGCTGCAGGCCTCTCTATCAAATCCAAACAACTCGAGCTCATCCTTGTCCCGACACGTCTCGCGGGTGACATTTTAAAAGCAGGTTTTATTGCACCCTGCATCTCTCCATCCATCTTTCCTCGCCTTCCACTGTCACAGATCCTCACTGAAGGCGTACTATCCGACACGTGACATTTTCATAGGTTTTCATTTGCGAGCCGGTGGTGACTGACCTCATCTTTCTTATCGCGAAATTCAATCAACTTGTCACCGTGTCAAACAACAAGTTGCTAAAAAAAGAGACGGAGAAGTTGGAAACCGGAGAAATCACAAAAGAAATGGCTTTATTACGTAAGTCGTCCGGTCATGGGCATAAAAACAGAAGTGATTCAGCGCGCTCACTCCCACACACGCTTCCTCACCTGGCTTTTCATCATTTTGAATACTGCCTGCTGGAAAAGTGGAGCCGTTTGCTGTCAAATCAAGAGTGTAATGTTCTGCAACGAGTGGGAAGAAAAACAGGGTAGGTGGCCAAGCGAAGTTATGAGAATGTGTTAAGAAGTGTACTCGCTTGTAAAAATTAGTTGTCACACTTCTGCAGAGTGGAAAATCTGGCTACTTAATTTTTACAGAGAAAAAGCCTCTAAAAAACATTATTGGTGATTATTTATTGCAATTTGAAAAAATTGTGAAATTCTGAAAAAACCGCATTAAATGTTAATCGGAGAGTACATTATACATATACATTCTTAATACAAGTGCACGGAAGTTTTCAGAATTTTCTGTTTACGTTTTCATGACCAAAAAAAATAATGATGTAATGCGAGAAAAGGCGATCCCGAAAAACCCGGAAGTAGATACCGGCACATTTTAGGACACATTTGCAAAGGATCAAATTATGGATTTAGGTTAGGTTTATGTTTGGGTCACTCACCGCTGATGTTCAGGATTCTTTGTTCAGTTTTCATGCAGTTCAAGGGAGTTCTAGTTTGGAAGTTGATAGCCTAACTGTTGCTAGCATAGCCACGGGAAAGCCATTGGGAACTATTTTATTTTCTTTCTTATTGGACTGAAGTTTATGTTGTGTGTTCTGTTGGTACAAAGCCGTATAATAAGCGGGATAACGTATAGTACGCAGGTCATTATCGGAAAATAAGTACCGACAGGGCGAAGCGGACCCCGACGCGCAACGGAAACTTCTTCTGTGTTCCAAATGTGGTCTCATATAGAGGAGTACACAAAAATCACTGGAATGAGGCGGGCGAGGTGGATCAAGGCTTTCCCAGATAAGCGCCCCCTGCAGGCCACCCAAATTACACGCAGCAATTTATTCTGTTTTTCTTTCCAAAAATGCCCAAAATCAAGACTCTTTTGAGAAACATTTTTAGTACTCCCTCTCCGAGTCCCCCTCCCGATTAGGACTATTACAACAACCTTACACCGCACAGGAGGAGAGCCTTTTGACTCCAAAACAGACACGATTTACATGGTTTTCAATGGGAGCAAAACTGAGTTGTCCCACCTCTGCTCATTCGCCCCCTACTGGCCAGTTTAATGAAACCCAAGAATATGATTTTGCAACATTTTAAACGTGCTACACTTTCTCTTGATGATTAAAGGATCATTCATACTCTCTGCACGACACAAGACGCGTGCGAGCACTCCCAGCCGTGTGACCGTGTCAAACGCCAACATGACAGGAGCCTGTGTACGCCTTGTACTTTACGCAGTATGGAAGATTCTTAAAAGAACCAATACCCTTTTCATTTCTTGGAATCATAACTAATTTTGCAGCATTGCAAGCATTTTCTCCACATTCTCACATCATAATTATTTACCACAATAAGCACCAGTTTGATTGTCACCGTTTGACCTTTTCTCAGATTAGAAAACACTTTATGGCTCAGTACAACTTCATATATAGTTTCTACTATATCATAGTCATTTTAGTAGTGCATCAAAGGACATTTATTCACAGTGGTCATCCCATGGGCATAGGTTTCCTCCAGGTGCTCCAGTTTCCCCTACCACTAAAAACATGTACAATAGGTCTGACTGTAATGAGTGAGTGAATGGGGATGGTGTTGGTTGGGGCTTTGATGCTCCAGTGTGTTGCGTCATCACAAAGTGGACAGAATGGAAAAATATTTGAACTTGGAACATTGTAAAGCGCTAAGGGTGACCTTGGTTTGTAAAATGCATTATATAAATAAACATAACTTACTTAGTCACTTATTTATGGACCAATGGCTCCTATGTGTTTGTTATTTTTGTATGTCTTGTTATGTTGTCGGAAAATCAACAACTTGATGTTGTGATTTAGGGCTATACAAAAATACATTTAATTGAAATCAAAAGTATCCTGTTTTTAAATAAACATCATAAGCATCATAGACCACCACCACTTTGATTAAATTTGACTCAGAATACTGTTGTAATGATATTGAAAACAAAGAACCTCTACACTCAAACAAAGGTTCCTCCATGGCCCTAAATGTTGACCACAGTGTATTTTGGTTTGTCGTCTGGTGTGATTTATCTGAGGCCCAGAGTTTCCCTGGTGTCTGAGTGGGACTGCAGGTGTGCGCTGGGCAGTAGGATTTGTCATTGCAATGGAAACGTTCGACATAGCATTGTGGTGAGTCACGACGAGGATGCATTCTGCACATATTTACTGAGAGCGTGGCTAAGAAGCTGTTTGATTACAGAGCTGCACTGGTCGTTTACTGACAGCTTTATATGAAGTAAACAGGAATCCTCACCAGCTGGGTGCATGTCTGGAATACAAATGGCTCCAAAAAAAGAGCGAACCCTCGTAATTTTTTTTGCCTGAAATGTCGTCACAAGAGCTAACCTGTATGTTTATTTTTGTTTTGATACAATTTTGATACAATCCCTCTCACTTTCAGAGGGATATTAGAAAAAATGTAACCCACAGCCTCTAAACTCTCAGCCAGAAGTGTAAAATTGTGACTCGCTTGGAGTCAAGTGAGTTTTTTACATACATTAGATGAAAACTATTTATAGCCGTCTGATTTTTGTCTCAAATGGTTTGTATTTATAATAGAATTTAATAAAAATTGTGGTTATTTCTGTAACTTCGGTACAGGTACAGTCAAAGTTGTAGGACATTAATAACTACGTTTTTGTTTCACTTATATTATCTACAAAACATCTTTGTGAGGGTGTGTGCTAAGTGCAGATCACCAATGTGCAGTAGCTTTAAATCTGGAAGACTTTTGTTAGCTTGTTTCCTTGAATACATTTTGTTTATCCCAACAGAAAGATTCTTGTTTGAGTGCATACAATGTGTGTGACGCATGTGTGTGTGTGTGAGTAGTTTTGAATGATTGATAAAACTGTATTTCTTTTTTTTTTATCTTGTTTTATTTTGTGAAATTATTTATGAAATGTGTAAATTGAAGTTTGAAATAAACAATAAAACATTTTTGAACAAATTAGACCACCATTTTGACCACACTGAGAGCCAAATGAGGACTCTGAGTGAGAACTATGGAAACTATTTACAGTCCATGGATGTTAGTAAATACTTGCACGCCTGTCTGATTTATCTCGCTTTAATGTAATTTGCCTTTTAACAACTTTTCCTTTAACTCTGTCCTGTCCTGCTGTAAGGACGAGGCGTCTGATCCAATGTTCTTTTGTGTTTATGGCTGATCAGCATGTGAGCGGAAAACAGGCCACCTAAAGCCTAACATTACAGATGACTTCACGGCGAGGGAAAACAAACTCACCTCTGCTCCAGCTGTTCGCCGTATTCTCTGCTGTCCTCCAGCCTTTTATCGGCTTCCTGTAGTGCGTCACCCAGAACTTTCTCTCTTGCCGCAGACTTTGCCTCTAGCTCGGATTTTTGTGTCGCAATTTTGTGGGACTGGAGCTTTTCCATTTCTCTTCGAAGTTGTTTCAATGCCTCCTCGTTGACTTTTCGAGCCTCGCCTTCTCTTATCAGCCTGTCCTTCTCGAGCTTGTCCTCAAACTCTCTGGTCATGGCTTGTTTTAGCTGTCTGTTTTTTTCCTCAAACTCCTCGTTCATGTGTGTCTCTTTCTGCTGTGCTTGGCTCTGAAGGGCCTTCTCCCACTCTTGCATGTCCAGCTCCAGTGCTTCTCTTTGGGTTTTCTCCTTCAGTGCAGACTCCCTTGCTTCCTGGAGAACGGCTTCTAACTGAGCGATCCTGGTGTTGAGTTTGTGGAACTCGCTGTAGATGAGGTAGCTAACTCCACAGTAGCGGCACACGGTTGCGCTTCGAGGCATCTGTGGACACAATTCACACATTTGTATTCAAAGGGCTTGCTTAATGTAAAACACATTATCTCCACATCATTCACATTAAAAAAAAATAGTGATCTGGACAAAGTTTTTGGCCGAATTACCTTTGGTACGATTAGTCCTGCCCAAGAAAGAAAAGTAGGAGCTAAATATATAGGAAAATAAAAGCAAGACCAGGACCTGCCAGCTGACAATGTATCAGAGCAAAGAAGGATGTTGAAGCAATTGTGAACCAAGTGAAGAAGTCCGAAGCAGGAAGAAAGGATTAGGCAGTTATAGGACTTTTGTTTTGCCACATTTTCAGATTGAGATTCATTTATTTGCCATTTGCAGTAAAACCACATTGGAAAAACTGCAAGACTACCCCAGTGTGCCCCATTTTGTCTTGCTGACGGTTTAAAACACTAAAACGGAGAATAAAATAACTCATCCCTTTCATTAGTGGAGGATTCTCTGCATGTTGGTGGTTTGTCTATGTCCAAACTATTAAGTAAGAAAACTGTTTTACTGAGCTTTTGACGGAGCTGAAGTTGGCTGACTGAAAAATGTTTACTTTCTCATATTAGTAGCTACGTTAGAGACATAATTTTGTGACACGATCGAAAACCAATGTCAGTCACACCAATAAAGTCAATGAAAGGACTGAGTTTCTGAGCTGCACGAGGTATAGCACGTCTATATTGGTGGAGCTGAAGTTGGATGGATAACACTGTGAACTTGTGTTTATTATTAAAACGGTTGCTTTGAGTTAGCAAGGCAGAGGGCCACATGAGTTGACACGGCTTGGACATAGTTTGGACGCCCCTGCCTTAGAGCCAAGGGGACTCCATCTAAGAACATAAGAACATCTATGTCATTGCATCATGTTGCTAATCTGGATTGGATTGGATTTTATGTGGGTCGATCGTTTGCCGTTGATTAATGACAGATATTACATTCATTGCCTGTATAAAAGGATTGGGCTGAAACGACTGCCATATGTAAGCCCGCCCTGACATCACATCACTCTCGGCTCCTCAAAAAAACAAAAACAAAAAGACACATTACACACAGATTTCCAACTCAACCGTTTGAACAGCACATATTCTTTCCTTTTGGCAAGAAATAAACTTTCAAATTTTAATGTATTTTGAATGTTGATAATGTGGTGATTAGCTTTTGCTGATCATTAACATCATTCCACATTTTAGCCCAATAACAAATACGTCTTTTTTAACATTAGTTTTGGCTTTTCTTGTTTTAAACACAACCAAACCTCTCAGATTATAGAAAATGTTTCTTATTTTGAAGAAAGATTGAACGCCTGTAGGAAGAGTTTTTTTGTTTTAATATAGGTTTAGGTATCCATTATTTTTAACTTGACTAAGTCCATACATTTTCATATAGATTGCATGAAAATGTCATTAGTAGAGTCACAATAACCCACTTCAAGAATCTCTAATGTAACTGTTAATATATTTACATCATGTCAAAGATCAAACATATGAGCTTGTTATAATGATTTAAGGTCCCAACACATTTGTACAATAGTGTGTATGTGCAACAGTGGTCTGGAGAGTGTGCAATAATGGGTCGTGTGCAGTAGTTGTTTGAGTGCAGTGGAGGGACAGGGTGCAATAGGAGGATATTCTATCACATCCACGTGCACATGCGCCACTCACTGAATATTTTGTTTCTGGAAAGGTTGGGCCATGTTTTTCCTTGAAACAGAAATCCGTGACTGTGTCAGACGAGGTGGAGTCACCACAGGATTCACATCTGCCGTGGGTGATCACGAATGAGAATAGAGAAATCACCACTCACTGTGACAGTATAACCGGGTAAGTTTGTCTCTCTGTCGAACCCAGAGTCCAGGCTTTCTTCTGAGCGTTCATTATCCTGATCGCCCGCAACCATTTTTTGCTGTTATTTTCTGAAGGCATTCGGACCTTTATCTGGCCCCAGCTAGCCATACAACCGACCACACAACAAGAGTGGACCATTTTATTAAGTAAAACCTCTCCCCACACGTCTAAATCTCGCTAACTCTCTAGTATCCAGGTAGAAATCGCTGCCATTTTGCCACCCAGTCACGTGACCGGTGCGGAAAAACTATAAGCAACAATGTCACTCAAAGATCCTTCTATAATGTCATTAGTGTATTATGAATGTGGAAATGGCCTGAGCAGTGGTGCTGTGTGTGTGTGTGTGAACTGTGTGCGACGATGAACCTTTGTTGTTGTAATGTTATATATGTTGGGAACAGATGGAAATTAGCCCTTGGGAATAATCTGATGTGTTTATATTCATATTTTTTTATGTCGGTTCATTAACATGCACAGTCACAATCAAATATATATAAAACATTAGTATATTGCACCACGCTGCAGTGTATGAAAACACTGAAAATGGCAAGTGAATGTGTTGTTATCGTCCCAACTGCACAAAGCGTCTTTTATCTCTATCAGCATCAAAAACAGACACAAATATTCTCTATAATCTCTGCTTCACATCCTGTTCCATCAGCAGCCTGGAAAGCAAAAATAAAGCATTTTTAAAAGATGATCCCGTTTCAGTGTGCATGTCAGTGAACGTGCTTCCATCCCCGTTTGATCCATGAGAGGGGTGAGACTGCCTCCCCCACAGCTGTGAGCAGTGGATGATGTGACAGACAGAGATAATACGACGTAAACAATGTAAACCAAACATGAACGCATTATTCAAGTGAAAGCCGGTCATTTCATATGTACAGTATATAGCCTTTTAAAGAACGCTTATTTTCAATTCAAATGGCATGAAAGTAGTTTTTTTTACAGACAGGGTTAGGGTCAAATCTCACAAGACTAAAACGTAGGCTGTCCAAAGGAGAGTTTGTCTATGTTTAACGTATGAAAAGGGGGGGCGGTGGAGGCAGTAGATGTTCACTCCGTAACTTACTTTAAAGAAGAAATATTATTATATTTTTATTTTTATTATTGGATCTTTGAAGCATGCCTGAGCTAAAACATGCTAAGAGTTTACATGACCCTGACAGAGATACAAATTTGACAGAATGAAAAGGATGAAACAATTGCGTCACATCTAGTCTCTATGAAAATGTTCTTGAGTGAAACAATAATCCACTATCAACTATTTTTTTATTATCACACAGATAGAGGAAAGTATCTGATATAAGTAATGTCTAATCAACAAAACCTAATGAACATCCCTAAGCTAAATTGTTGTTGCAGATGTTATACATTATTTTTGGCCTTTAAAGATGACAAGAAGACTAGTTGGTTTGGAATTTTATATTTTTGAATAGGAAATAATATTCTGAGTACAACAGATATGGCGAAAGGCTTTCAAAGAGTTGAAATTGTTTAGGTTTTCTTCCAAATTTAAAAATCACTGGCTACAAACACAGCCATGCCATTGTAAACATGCAATTATAAAAATGCGACTGGTACAATGACATCATACTATAACAGGACTGAGGCAGGAGCTTTTAGAAAGAAGGGGCGGAAGTTACAGTATGTGTTTGTGCCAGAAGTCTCTGATATTGGTCTGGATTGTATTCAATAACAACATGTCGTAACATGGTTAAAAAAAAGTCAATTTTGCATAATATCCCTCCTTTAACGTTTTTGAATTGCATTATAGTGTAGTAACCCCAGCAGGCCATGATGTGTACAATCACTGATTCTTCGAACCAATCAATCCCAATCTGACTATGGGAGCTCTTTGTCAACAAACGTTATTGGCTTTTACAAGTTGCAATTTTTCGTCTTTCTTGGACAATAGACACTGACATAACATCTCTACAATATTACTAACTCTTGCACCATCATATCAAAACAGCCAATATGGACAAGCAACTTCAGTGCCAAAATGGAAGAATACAACGTTCTCCCAGGACAGAGAGACTTTAATCCGATCTGTCAGCTCAGGTACTTTATAAGCCTGTTATTCTTGGCTCCTTCTGTAATGACTATATTAGATACAACCAAAGCCCTGATGAAAAACACTAGATAGGAGAGCTATAACTGCAATTTGCCGACGGAAAGAAAGAGCAAATGTATTTAGTGTGGGCGGATGGCACAACAATAATACCTTACAGTGTGTTGCAGCATAAGGCACTCTGGAGAATATAGGCTATTATCTGTTTGGAAAGAGAGAGAGGAGGAGAGGCAGAGAAACCCGCTGTAAGAGTGTGTGCAAGTGCGTGCAATATTTGGGACTGAGGCTCTGGGGCTTTGTGTGTGTTTACTGTGTGTAGAAGCCAAAGGCCCATGTACAATTGAAGCCTGTGAGGGAGCAGAGCGGCTGATGCTCCAAAAAAATGCTTGTGCAAGATTGTAAACGTGTCTTTGTCCGCTTGTTGTGCGAGAGAGCCGTGGTGCGTGTGGCTGCCGTAGTCGTGAACGAGTCAGGAAGTGAGCGAGCATGCTAAAAAGTGACCTCAGGGTGCTGTTTGGTACGGGATATGGGCTTAGTGCAGCGTCGCGTGGTTTGGAGGGCGATTGTGTTTGCATAAGCTGAATTTAAGCTTTGCAGAGAAGGCTGTTTCTGGGGATAGGACACAAATGGAGTTTTGTTGAAACAAAAAAATTCTTTTAAAGGCTTCGGGACAATTGCCAGTGATTGCACCTGTTCAGCTGGGAGGAGAAGCAATGCAACAAACCTCCACAATGTTATACTATGGAGATGGACTGGTTCACACTAAAGGGTACTAAAGTGTGACAGAAGATTGATTTTAATAATCAGATATATTAGGTTTTTAAGTCATCCAAATACCTCCTCTGTCCATTAGTAGTTGCTAGAAGAGAACTGTTTTATACATTAGTCAAGTTTCCTATAGAGGCTGTTTATCTGTGTCACGGACCTGATCCTTTGATGGAACGAGATATGTGGAAGTTTGTTACATATTTATAGATCCACATTTGATTAATAGATTCTTTTTTACACAAAGTAGAAACAAAGTGATTACTTTCATAAAGTAAACCAGTTCAATGTGATCTTTTTCT